TGCCTTAAGTTCATCTAGGACGTTACAAAGAGTTTTAATGATCTTTCGTTCATCTGCACCCCACATATAAAAATCAAGATGGTTGCACTCTGGGGACTGAGGTAGCCAGATGTAAAATGTGGTGTAGTCGCGGACATTTTCTGGCAACAATAAATGGATTCTCCTTCTTGTGTGTCATGTTGCAGAGTCTTGTTGCCAGACATAGAATCTTCCAGCGGTCACCTTCTTGACCCAAGACAGCACTAACTCCTCAAGTCACTTGATGTAGGCCTCCGTGGTGAGTCTGAGGCACTCACGACCAAATTCGGTAGTTTTTTTTTTATCCGAACGATCAGAGTAAGTTTTCCGAGTTGCCGTATCTTCGTAATCATCATTAGACTCATCGAACTCTTTCCCGATCCTATATACTGTCCTCACGTTGACACCCAAACATATTTAAATGTTCGTATTGGAACTTCCGGCGCGAATGCCAAGCAGTACAGCATGTCATTTCCAAATTTCTGGCGGGGTGAATTGCATCATGGTGCTCTTTTCCTCGCAGACTATACTATACTGTGCTGTCGAGAAATCAAATCGGAAATTAAAAATATAAAATAGCGATAATTTACCTATCGCACCTTGTAGATAAAGTTCTTCATAATGTGCGTGTTGTACTTGTGAATACATTTTTAAAAATTCTTTAAGGCATGGTCTCCAAGGAATACTTTCTCTGAGACTATCGTGTCATTTTCCAAATTAACCGAGGTTTCTAGCTAAAACTGGAATTATTGATGTCCTCCTATGTTACATGTTTGAGATTTCCACTTGAAGATATTCGACCATTCTGTCATGCCAATTTTATATTCAATGCGTGTCAATACCGTACAAGCTGATACAATATGGTCAACTGTTTCTGGATATTTATCACCGAATCTGCATTTTGGGTTAACTCAATTTTCCAGTATGTGCGCTTGGCAATTTCTAGTTACCAAGCATTGGTCTTGTGCAGCAAGAATAAAATCTTCGATTTATTATTTCCTTTGATTCTTGTTGTATACACATTTCCTCCCCATGCCGAAAGACAGAAATGACTTCATGAAATTTTCCACTGATCATTTTTCCAAAAATCTTCGCAGGTAGGCTTTTGCCGTTTGGTACGCTCATATCAGCCAGTGTGCAATTTTTTCTGTCTTTGATAATAATGTCTGGTTGATTTGTTTGTATTCTTCGATCCGTGTGGATAGAAAAATTCCACTATTATTATTATTATTATTATTATTATTATTATTATTTTCTCTAGTATATCGATTTCTTTCCGGGTGCCAACCGGAGGACTATGGTCAGAAATTGAAACCTGATATTCTTAATGAGTATTTAATAAAATAAATATAAATCAACCTAATAGAAATAAATATAATATAAATAAATATAATATAATTATAACAGAATATAATATAATTACAATATTATATAAATGTAATATAATATAAATAAATATGATATAAAATGAATAAAATATAATATAATATAAAATAAAATATAAATATAATATAATATAAATAAATAAATATAAAATAAATAAAATATAAAATAAATAAAATATAATATAAATAAATATAATATAATAAAAATATAATAAAAATATAATATAATATAAATAAATATAATGTACTATAAATATAATATAATATAAATAAAGCTATTCCAAATGTGTGAGCTGTACTCGTGAGTATAATTTTTGAATGTCCTGCTACTCTTCTGCACGGCCTCGTTTAAGTTGTTGAATGCTGACATAATTTTTGCCTTCAGTTCATCTTTGGTGTTAGAAGGAGTTTTTGGACTCTCTCAACTGCGCCCCGCACATAATGTTCAAGGGGGGTGCCTTCTGTAGATTTAGGTAAGCAGATGTATTGTGTGATATGGTCGAAGAAATTGTCTGACAGCGATGACTGGATTCTCCTGCTTGTGTTTCCTGGTGCAAAGCCCTATAACCAGACATAGGTTCTTCCAGCGGTCGCCTCCTTGACCCAAGGCAGCACTACCTCCTCAAGGCAATTGATGTAGGCCCCTGTGGTAAGTCAGCATTTTTCTTCTTATCATAACGATCAGAGTGAGTTTTCCGAGCTGGCGTACATTCGTAATCATCATTATTCTCATCCAACTCTTTCCGAATCCTCTGCACTGTATTACCCAAATTTTCGTATTGGAAAATCTGGCGGGAATGCAAAGCGGTACAGCATGCTGTTTCTAAATTTCTGCCGAAGTGAATGGCGTTGTCGTAATCTCTTTTCTCACAGACGGTGCCCAACTGATCATACTATAGTCTGCAGTCGACAATCAAACACAAACAACGCGCATGTTCAAAATTGAAAAATATAAAATGGCAAAAATTTAACCATCGCACCCTGTTGATAAAGTTCTTCATAAGGTGGGAGTTTTGAGAATTTTTTTTTTGTTTCTTTAAGGTATGGGCTGCCAGGAATTAAACTGGGAGCTCCGTTTTTGAGTTTTCCACTTGAAGAGCCTTGTATTTTAGGATTCTTTGAATATCTTCAAAATACATTACAATCTGTTGAACTGCAATGAAAATAAGAAAACATTCTGCTCTTGTGGTCTTTGATCACGATGTCTAGCCGATTAGAGTTGATTGTTCTGTCTGTGTGCATTGTAATGTCCCATAAAATCGTTGCAAGTTTTATAGCTGTAACCGGGTTTGTGTGATGTCCATATCTGTTTCTTCCAGTTTCCTTCACGTAAAAGATGCGTATTGTCCAGTGCATATACTGGTCCACTGTCTTATGCCGTGTTTTATATTAAGTGCGTTCCAATACCGTGCAACCTGATACAACATGCTCACTTGTTTCTGGATATTAATTACAGTATATGCATTTTTTCTAACACAAATTTCATGTGTGTGCTTGGCAATTTCTGTCTAGCAAACCTTGGTCTTATGAAGCAAGACTAAAACCTTCGGTTTCAGCTTTTAACCCTGCACGACATAGCCACTGATGAGTACGGGGTTTGTCTGCATCCGTTGGGTATGTACAGTGCATTGGTTATGACGAGGCTTAACTTGCCATCATTTCTGCATTTGTTACATTCCATTTGCTTTTGTTTTCTTTTTAAGGTTATTTGTCACTGCAATGGGCGGATTATGTTTTACTTGCACTGCCTATTGCATTTGAAATTCCATTTTGAATTTGTTGACATCTTTTGTTACCAAATAAAGTTACTTATCGCTTTCATGTTCTTTGACACAGATTATCATCCAGTCTTTTGCTGATACTAGGTATCTTTGACAACCGAATGCTGTGGTTTGTAAGACATTATTATTATTATTATTATTATTATTATACTTATTTTATTTCCTTTGATTCCTGATGTGTACTCATTTCTTTCCGGGTCCCGCCCAGGGACCTAAGGTTAGAAATGGCATCAGACAAAGCCTTTCGTAAAGTGTGGGGCTGTACTCGTGAGAATTATTTTTTTGTATTTTTTAAGATATGGGCTTCCAGAGATCCCTTCAATTAGTCTCCTGGAATCTTTTCCAAACAATCGGAGGGCTCCAACTACGATGGGGGTTGTTGATGTTGACATGTGCCACATTTTTGAGATTTCTATTTCAAGGTGCTTGTATTTTGATAGCTTTTTGAAGATCTTCGAAGATACATTGCAGTCTGCAGGTTATTATTATTATTATTATTATTTATTATATTTATTACTAGCGTTTGAGAAATTAGCACGTTAAAAACTGACGCAAGATTTAAAATATCCCAAATCCATTAAAGCTCTAATGACGACCAATCTTATATGTGTATACCAGAAAGATACGTTAAGGCAAATATGTCTTATATTATAAGTTTCTGATAAAAGCAGAAGAATGTTTCTATGTCGGGCCCAGTTACAATTACCGTCATATGGCTTGGTGTTAACCGACTTGACAATGTTTCTATTCAGATTTTTTTCTGATTTAGGGTGTTCACAAAAATCCAGATATCACATCGAATGTGCTTTAACTGTTTCAGCCTTTTAAATTTAAAAACTGCAGCAATGGCGTTTTCCTGTTCATAAATCTGATTGCCCATTGTGTCAACCTGTAGGGAACATGTTCAACTGATTATGGTCAGGCAACTGAGAAACATGGCCGTCGCAATGAAAAAACAAAAACAAATTCCGTACAGTATACAAGAATCAATAAAAACCTTTCCAAAAGAGAAACTATGATCTGGAATGGGAATAAAAGAAGTGAGGGCAGCTACACTCATTTTTTTCTACGTGGCTTGTCCCTTCAAGAAAATAGCAATCATGGCTCTCCACAATTCCTTGTCCTATATAGATCTTACTAAGTTTTGTCCTTTTGTCATCTCTCAAATTATGCCCCCCCATGCATTCACTCAATCTCGACAAATGAGTTGTGTAATTCTTTCCTCTTACCATCTTACCTCAGTTTTTCCTGTACGTATCAAATTTTCCATGTCCTCTTTCCTCATTGTGTAGCACAGAAATTTCAACTGTCTCTTCCTGATGTTTATTATAAGTTGTTGCCATTCTCTCTAGATCTTTTTGGTAGCTCACATGTTCAGTCCATGTTGTTATTTTATTGCTTCTTCTTCTTCATCTGTGAGGAGAATGTTCAGCATTCACTTGGTCTATAAGAGGACTGATATTACGTAGCACTTCATTACTTTGTTTCTTACGAGAATATTCTGTTTCTTAATACTTATCTTTTGGCAGTCATCTTTGGCTATCTCAGTGCGTCTTCGAATTTCAGTGTCACATATTCCGTCCTCTGTTAAAGCAATTCTCAGATATTTAAATTGTTTTAATTATTTGACTTTGGTATCCCCAATTTCTACTTTGCATGTTGGGATGTCTCTTTTGCTAACAACCAGTTTGCATTTTGTCTTCTTGCGCTGATTTCTTCGGTATTTCCTTTACTGTCTTCATTAGGAGTTCTTGTAGTTGCCTTTATTTGTTTCAGCCCAAGCAAGGCGGGAATGCAACTAGTAAGCAGGGCGTTAATGAAAGTGAAAGCGAAAGAAAAGAGTGAGTTTTGTCATATTTCTTTCTTTCAAAACGTTTTCTTGCCTCTATATCACTTTTCATACTTTTTTTCTTTCGTTTTGGCTATTTTCCCTTCCCTCTCGCATTTTCTCTTGCCTTCTTTTCAGCCCTTTTTCCTCTTTCCTACTTCTCAGCCTTTCTCTCCTCTTTCCAACTTCTCAGCAATTTTCTCCTCTTTCCTTCTTTTCAGCCCTTTTCTTCTCTTTCCTTCATTTCAGATTTTTCTCCTCTTTCCTTCTTTTCAGCCATTTTCTCCTCTTTCCTTCTTTCAGACTTTTTATCCTCTTTCCTTCTTTTCATCCGTTTTCTCCTCTTTCACGCTTTTCAGCCTTTTTCTCCTTTTTCCTTCTTTTCAGACTTTTTCTCCTCTTTCCTTTTTTTCAGCCCTTTTCTCCTCTTTCCTTCTTTTCAGCCCTTTTCTCCTCTTTCCTTCTTTTCAGACTTTTTCTCCTCTTTCACGCTTTTCAGCCTTTTTCTCCTCTTTCCTTCTTTTCAGCCCTTTTCTTCTCTTTCCTTTTTTTCAGCCCTTTTCTAATCTTTCCTACTTTTCAGCCCTTTTCTTCTTTTTTCCTTCTTTTCAATCCTTTTCTCTTCTTTCCTTCTTTTCAGCTCTTTTCACCTCTTTCCTTTTTTTCACCCTTTTGTCAGAGATCAAATTCTCTGAAGAAGGCCGGAGCGTACAACGACCGAAACGTTGTTAATATGGCAAGGAAGATGAGGATAACAGTCCGAATAATGTAAATAATGCAAGTAATCAAAATACCTCGTCTCACAGATCAAATCATCTGAAGATGGCCGGAGCGTACAACGGCCGAAACGTTGTGAATATGGCAATGAAGATGACAACAGTCCGAATAATTTAAATAATGCAAATAATCATAATACCTCATTTCAGAGATATAGACAAGAAAAAAGAAGTACGATGAACCATAGAATTTGTTTAAGGTAATGAAACATCCTTCCAATGACATTGTTCGGAAAAAAAAAAAAGACTACACAAAATGACTTTGTTATTGAGCCGTAAAACCTGAATGTTTGTGGTTGTGATGTAAGGCTGGGAACAATCTCTCAGGGATGGACGAAGAGACGAGAATAAATAGAGACGTTTCCTTTTTGATTATTTAGTTTTGATTTAGAGTAAAGACCGAATTCTAAAATAGGAAATCTGCCAAAGCACGGGAAACGAAATATATTTGTTTGGAAATACTGCACCTTTCTTTGGGAGTCAATGAGCCGTAAAAAAACTAATTCATGACCAGTATTAGAAGTTTAGATACAGGGTTAAAGCAAACAATAAATCTACTTAAGGGAAAAACCTTTTGGAACAAGAGACTTATTCGCGAAGTAATTCTGATTCGATCCACCGTGAAGTATGGGCTAGAAAACTAGTTAACCCCCGATGTATTCATTGTTTCAGACAGACCTTTACCGCTTGAATCAATAAGAAAATTAAAGAAAAGAATAAAAATCACCAGACCGAAGATACTACTGAGGAAAGCAAGAAAACACATCGGCTAAAACAATAACCAAAAGAAAAAAAAATTGAAGAATATTTGTCATATATTCTGGGATCTATAACTTTTATCAGTCTAATATCTTCATCTTTATTAAATGTTGCTGCAGCCTTTCCATGCATAATGAAAATGTTGCTGGCAGTGATTTCAACATTTTATCCAGTTTTTGTTGAAGAACAAAGAATAGGTACAATCTTGTTTGTTTGCTATTTGATTTCTATTTTTGTCCAGATCTTGAAATTATATGGGTAGGAAAAATTAGGTGAATAGCAAATTCATTTGATTTCTATTTTGCCAGGAAATTATCGGTAAGGCTGGAATAGAATACGAAAATTGCAGGAATATCTGGTGCAATAGAAAATCAGGACTGGTGCAATAGAATCAGGCATGGCTGATCATATATAAAGAGCAAAGCTTCCTATGGACTGAGATAAAATCTAGGCGGACATGACACACAATCTTGGCTATAATTATGAAAGAATGAACAGAAAATGACGTAAGGACGAAGGCTTTTAACATGACAAAAACACGGCAGGGTTAAAAAAAAAAAAAGTCAATGCATTAGTACAGCCGAGAGAGAAAAACAAAAATTATTGAATTTTGTCGTCTCTAACAGATGAGATAATTCCAATTTGATTATTTTTGGAATGATTTACTCCTTTCAAGAGTTTATGAAGACTTTGTAGGTTATTTAAACCTAGAAAATTTTGTTTTACATTGTAATCAATTTGGTAGGGGTGAGAGAATATTGTTCAGTGATACAAATCTTACTAACCCATAGTCAGTGGGGAAGAAAAGATGGATCCATATCTAATCAGAATTGGATAGACAAACAAGAAATTATAATGTGGATAAAAATTGGGGGATCAATTCTATATTAAAATAATATATAAACTGATCCCTCTCTTTTTTAGCCACGGTAGTTTATTTACATTTATATTCCAGCGAATACAAATAAATCTAAAATACTGTGTAATTAATTTTTATTACACTCAAACTTTTCTTATAACGATTGATTGATTAATTTTCCACGACATATCAACTCTCTGCAGGTTATTTAAAGCCAGAAAATATTTTTAGATAGTAATTTTTTTTTAGATAATATAGTTTAGTGATACAAATCTTAGTAACTAGCCATTGACGGTGAGGAAGAAGAAATGGCTTCATACCTAATCAGAATTTAATGAACAAAACAAGAAATTATAATGTAGTTAAAGACTGAGGGATCAATTTCATATTAAAATAAATATATACAACGATCCCTCACTTTGTGGACACTGTAGTTTCTATACATTTATACTCCTGAGAATATAAATAAACGTAAATTCACAGAAACTTTTCCGATGGATGATTGACTGAATCGTTTAGTGTGGCATTATCATCTCTTTAATGAAAATATTTTTTACTTTGTATGTATTTTTTATTTGTATTTGATACTCGGCGATTATTATTAAAGAGTTTTGGTACATCATTAAAATGTCGAAAATACGAAACTAATAAACAGGATAGTCTTAATGCGATATGTGGTGTCTGCAAAATCTACTCAAATAAACGTTCCTTCTGTCAGGCAACAGAAATGAAGTCAATCCCGAGTGTTCTGCGAGATAAAATGAATACTTACAACTGCCAAGGTTGAGATGGCATGTAGCCTCATCCATTGGGTATTTCTTCAGTACCATAGGACATCTTGCTCTGATAGTTAATCTATAAAAGAAAACATCTATGTTAAATTTAAACAAAAAAAACTTTGATAGAACCAACAGACAACTTACCAAATACTAAAAGCCTTATCCAGATATAGTCACAAATAAAAACGGTAATACTGAAAGCGGCAAACTTACCTAATCAATAAAGTGCTTGAAGCCCAGATTGTCTAGACGAAGAAAAAAATACTTACCAAGTTTAAATTTCTATAAAAGCATGACTGTAGACGTATCTTAAGTTTTAAGCACACGGGAGCTTCGTACGACTTGAAATGAATTGGAAGAAAAAATATTCACCAATAAACCAATACACTACTTCGGTGGTACGTGACATGATAGGTATATATTATGTCTTTTGTTTATTAAGTAACATGTTATCATTGGTCAAACTTAGTACCGCAAATATTTCTTCCAACTAAAGCTTATATAAATTCCAAGTGTTTTTAATTCCCCAAGTAATTATATATATATATGTATATGTATAAGTAATGAAAATTTTAGTAATCCGTATGGATAATCCCAAGGAAGATTGTATCCAGAGAGCTCAATGTTCAATCAGAGCGATTAATTCAATGAAAACAGACAACTTTAAAGGTCCATTGCTTATAATTTATTTCCCCAGGGAATTTCTTTTTCCCTGGCTCATCAGACCACAATTCTAAGGGTGAAAAAATGAAATTAGAATTGTGGTCTGATGAACCAGGGAAAAAAAAATTCCCTGGGGAAATAAATTATAACCAATGGACCCTTAAAGTTGACTGTTTTCATTGAATTGTGTGTGTGTGTGTGTGTGTGTGTGTATACATGCATATATATATATATATATATATATATATATATATATATATATATATATATATATATATATATATATATATATATATGAAGAGACATAGTCTTAAGGTGTGCTACATTTATTGGATAACGTACTCAATATCAGAGACAGCGTGTGTAAACATAAAAGTGAACATAGATGTCAACAAGGTGACAGTCTGTTTCATGCTATATGCAATCGTCAGGCCACGTGTGCTGTTATTTTTCTCGGCTATTTATAAATATACGGGTCAGTGGTGCATTGTGGGTAGTCTATTATGGCGGTTATTTTACCGGAAGTTGTTTGTTTATTTATTTATTTGGATTAAATTATTTTGCTTGTTTTTATTTAATTTTATTTTTTGTTTCTTATTTTATTGATTTATTTACTTATTTTTTCATCGGTGTTTTTATTAACGTAGTAAAAATTTGTTTATATCACTTATTTAATAGTTTTGTTTTGGTTTGAGAATTTAATTAAAGCTATTTGTTCGGTTTTGGGGTTGGTTGTTGTAGTTTATTCTAACTATTATTTTAGCAGAAACAAGATTTTAATTTGTGTTTATTTGGGTTGATTATCTTTATTTGTTTTTTTCTAACGGTAACTTTATCGGGATTGGTTAGTTTATTTATTTACTTGGATGAATTTAGGTCAATTTATTTTACTTGTATATTTTCTCTTTTCGGTTTTCGATTTTTAAGTAACGTAGTATTTATTTATTTATTTTTTATTTTTATTTTATTTTATTTTATTTATTTATTTTTTATCGTTATATAACAGTTATAACTATTTTTTTCGTCCGAATTTTTGGTTTGATTTTTTAGTCTAATATTTTGGTCATAATGGTTTGCTACTTTGTTTATTATTTACTTTATTTATTTGGGTTCTTTTTTTTGTTATTATTATTATTATTATTATTATTATTATTATTCTATTTCGTCTATTCTAACAGGTTTATTTATTTGTTTTTATTTTATTTTTTCCGTTTTCAATTTTTAAGTAACGTAGTAAAAATTTATTTTCATGTCTGCATTTTGAGAAAAGCTCGGATCTTTTATTTAATAATTTATTTTGGTCAGGGAATGTAATGATAGCTATTTTTTCCTCCAAGCAAAGTTTGCAAGTTTTGATTGGTTGTTGTAGGCTGATGATCTTTTCCTCATTTTCCAAGATATTTTTGGTGTGATGTGCGTTTTTTTTTAATTTCCCAGATATACTTAGAAAGCATTTTACTGTTCGCATATTTACTATTTGTGAAATATGTTTTGTGTGTATAATTTCTTTGTTTCCATGGTCCTTCAGTTACTCCTATGTATACTTTTTCTTCATTATCTGGTCATTTTATCGTGGCTTGGTATATTACGGTGTTTTGTAAACAATTTCCGTTTAAGGGACATTCGTTCTTTATTCTGCAGTTGCACGTGGGTTTAATTTGTTCGTGTGGTTTGCTGATAATTTTCCTGTTGTGCTTTTTTATTATTTGTGCTATGTTCTCGGTGCAGCTGTAGCTGATTTGTACTGTGTTTTTGTTGAATATTTTATGTAGGGTGCTTGATTCCGGGAAGTGTTTGTGTAAGAGTTTGAAGAATATTTTTCCTACGTTTGTTTTTACGTTTTTGCTCTACGGTGGGTTGAACCATAAATTTCTTCTCCTGTTGGCCTTTTTGGTG